CTGCTCCATACGACCAATAAATAATTTTGCACGGAATTTTTTGTAAGGTCGAAAGGGGGCGCTTCTCAAATAAGTTAGGGAACCCCTGCACTAGCAAGTGACAGGATCTTATTCTACAGTGGCGCCAACTGTAATTAAAATAAAGTCATAGGGAAAACCGTTACACTCGTAGATAAAATTTTAACCACTATGTGTAGTTGTGGGTTAATTTGATTACATAAATATGATGATGATGTTTTAGATACAACATCCAATCAATCGTCATAAGTCAATGGCATTTCATACGCATATAAGTGAGTTTCTATAACTCTGAATGCCATAAAGTTTGCTATAAACGTATACTTTCACTATTCCAAAGAAGAAGCGGCACTTTCATCGATTACATTTGAATTATATGGTATTGCTATAAATAGTATTGCTAAATTTAGTTTGCCGTGCAATACTGAACCTTATTTATGTCTAACGTAAGACCTTGATTTATATTGTGAAGGATTTTTATTCACTGATTGACTTTATAAAAAAGTTATTAAAATCAGTTCTTACATATTTTTTATCGTTAGTTAAAGAAATAAAATCGAACCGTAATAACTGGTATTGTATTCTAATTACTAGAAATATAGAAGAATAAAATGAAGTAGAAAGCCGGCTTCAATAACTGTAAATATTATTTTTATCGAAATCTATTTCTTTATAGTTTACAGAAAGTATACGGGATGTTGTATTTTATAATGTTTGTAAATATATGTTGTAAATAATGTTCTAATAATAATTGTTTATATGTAATGGTTAGCACTGTATGTACCTACATAAATTCTGCACTGTAAACACTAATATGTATAATATTTTGTGCTAATACACTCTGCAATTCGCTAAAGAGTTCGATAGGTATTCGAGCCACTCTACTTGTCTCTTTCACTGTACCCGAAATTTTGGTATGAGTGACAAAGACAAAAGTACCTACCTATATATTTTCGCCAAATCGAGCAGTATTAGTAAGAAGAGTATCCTACCAATTGAACAAAGTAGGGTGTATCAATTAAGTTATTAATTTTAAGTAGATTTTGGGTCCAGTTATGTTTTTCGGCGTGTGTTTATGTTAATAATTGTTCCATAGGCGTGGCACAGACGTTTCCATCATGGGGACAACGGGGATGACGCAAAAAGACCCGAGTTTGCCCCAAAAAAGGGGCAAATTGACTAGAGGGTATGTCAGGAATGCCTGTCTCGTGTACCCTTGGCCCTAGTAATATTGTAACTGTCTATATAACTAAATCCTTCTTTCGCTGATGAAAGTGAATGAAATGTGTATTATAAACATTTTCTTTTCATACGGTAGCTAGCTTGCTTGTTGTGATAAATTTACTCATTTTTTTTAAATGACGAGTTGGTGACTTTACACAGTACAGAGGGCCACTTCACAGTTCCAGCTACCCATTTCCGTTTTTTCTCTCGCTCTCATTAAATGGCGATGCTTTGCGATAGAACGAGACGACATGACCGGAAATGGGTAGCTGAAAGTGTGGCCTGTAGTACATTGAAATAAATTTACCGTTATTTATAAATACAAAGTCAGAGGTAAGTAGATACTACATGCAATTCCCGTACCTTTTTTTTTCAAAAAAGTCCCTTTAACTCCTCCAGCTGAATGCTTATGTTAAGGGGCTCACGTCACCACAACAGACCAGCTACAACGGGGTTTGAATCGAATATTACTTTCTACCGAAATCCTGTATGGCAAGCTAACGATTGAAAAGAATTTGTTTGTAACATACAATAGAATCGATCCCTACTGACGTTGCCCTACCTAATACTTCCTCTATTAGTTTGACTCATAGGTACTGACAGTAAAATAAGGCATGTTATACATATAAAGCTTCAACCACACCAACGCGTGCAGATCGCCATCGCTGGCGCGATCATAGGCCTATGACAGGTCGCGCGATCCATGACAGTCCGTGCGACCTGTCATTGGCCTATGATCGCGCCGGCGATGGCAATCTGCACGCGTTGGTGTGGTTATAGCTTAACAAATAATCTTGAGCTGATGAACGATTTGATTTTCTAATCCATTAATATTTTGAACTCCATGATGCATGTACTAAAACACAACTAATTTAAATTACAAAGTTTCAATTATTTATCAGTTAGTTTAAATTGATTCGCTTTCTACAATATAGATCATCTCAAATTCTGTTAAATCTGACTATTAGTTAGTATTGTCAAATAATTTCTAGTAGTTAGTAAACTTTCACGTAAATCATGCTAAATATTAGTTCGAGACATTCATCAATAAAATATAATGAATGATGACTATACATACCTAACATAATCAATTAATGTAATGAGTGTATTTAATGAAACAAACATTTTAACTAATGTGCAATTTAATGATTCAGAAATTTTGAACCAATTAATTGTAATAGGATTAATTAACAGTTAAATACTTGTTATAATTTGTTAATAACTTGATAGCATAATATGTTTTCGTCCAATATCGTGCATTACCTGCACCTCTATCCAAAATTAGTATGTACAACGTGTAATTGAACTGACCTTTTTGTTTGTTTAGAAACGTGTACATGTACTTAATCAATTGGTGAATCGATTTAACACAGATTAATTTTTAACACACTGATTTTTTACAAGCTTTTTAATTAATTTCATAACTTTGTAAAAATCGTTTGAAATATCTGAGCTTTAGCGTTACATCAATACCACGTTGCATACCTTTAAAAAATATCACTACAGTAGTACCTAATTATCCACTAATTTAACCATGAAAATATTTGAATCCATTAATGCCTGTGAAAGTGAGTAGTAGGTAGGGTAAAATACCATTCAATCCGTCTCATCCGCTTAACCTGATGCTGATATGAGTGACAGAGACAAAAGATTCCACATCATTCTCTTGCAAAGTAGACCCTCATTCACAAACATTGTTCTCCTCAACCTTCTGCAGAGAGCAAACTATTCTCCCCACACCTTCATTCCAAACTCCCTAAATAATAATGCCAGGTATTAATTTCCTCTTTATCGCTTCCACAGCCGTTATGAGATGTCCCAAGATCTCCTAGACAAGCAGGTCGAGATCCTAGAGAGGCGGTACGGAGGTCTCAGAGCTCGAAGGGCAGCGGTCACCATCCAAAGGGCGTTTAGACGGCGACAGCTGCTGAAGAAGTTTAGCGCCATCACGGCGATGGCAAAGGCTGCTGACTCCACCGCGAGGAGAATGCAGGACGGGCCTGATCATGGCCAGCTAGTCAATGGTAAGGCTTCTGGTAAACTAGCATAGGTACAAAAGCAATTTAGGGTCTGATAAGCTATTCTATTACGGAGTCCAGCGCGCCATTGAGGTAGGGCGAGGGAAGCAGATTCCACAACAAAGCGGATGCAAGACGGGCCTGCTAGTCAATGGCGCGACTTTTGGTAACTAGCATAGTTCCAGAATATAAGGGCTTAGGGTCTGTTTCCTTGGTAGCCTGTTTAGAAGTCCAGCGCCATCACGGCAATGGCGAAGAAAATAGATTCCACTGTGGAGCGGCTGCAGGACAGGATGATTACGCTCAACTAGTCAAATATACTGCTACTGCATACTGGTAACTAACTAAAATTAGGACCTGTTCCATCAGACTATATCTTTTCTTTGTATCTTTGGACAATCTCACACAGCGCCATCTAGCCCCAAAGTAAGACTGCACAATAAGACTGGTGGAACTTAGTCCAAAGACTTTGCGATCTGCTTCACGTTAAGAGCAAAGGGTGGATTAAACAACGGGGTGAAGCAACAATTGGAATAATCCAGGTATTTCAGCTGTCGAAAATGCCGCGATTACAGATTTCTGCCAGAGATTTTGCCATTATCTCTTGCTGATCTCATTACCTTCTTTCAGCCAAGACCTTATTATTATCAAGACAAACCTAGAAGTTTTGTTGATTCTTCCAAGTAACTGAACCTTGTAATTTCTTCTTCCAGGTACAGATATCTACGCGAATACACTGCTCCAGAAGAGTCCAGCGGGTGCGGAGAAGATGTTGGCTCTCACCAGGCCGATGAGGTCCATGTCTCTGAGAGAACGGCACGATATGGATATGAGGTGAGCTTTATCTCGTTGTAATAGGATTCAATTTCCTATTAGTTTATATGGAAAATGAATTATTCGCTTCTTCTAAGTTTATTAGATTTTTTTTTGAAAAAAAAAAAAAAAAAAACAATCGAACACTTTCTGATGTCTATTACTTGCCGACATCGGGTAGATCTTGACCCATCCAATAAAATAGAGACATTAGTAAAAACCTATGTAAGCAGAGGGAGGATTTTCTCAGAGCCATCACAATGTGACAATCATATTTAATGCTTCAACGCGTGCAAGTCGCCATCGCCGCGGCGCGATCATAGGGCAATGACAGGTCGTGCGGAATGTCATGGGTCGCGAGACCTGTCATTAGCCTATGATCGCGCCGGCCATGGCGATCTGCCCGCGTTGGTGTGGTTGAAGCTTTACTTATTCAAAACTATACTTTACAGAAGCGAATGCTTAATTATGATGTCACGAAATAGTATGAATGCATCGCTTAAGGCCGGGTAACAGAGAAAATGGCGAAAAAGAGGTTTT